CTGTTGGATAGCGCCTCATCAGAGCTAAACAACCAAAAGAAATCTGAAGCTTCTATGTTGAACAGTTTCTGAGTTATAAGCATTTTTGCATGTCCAGACAACCCCTCTTTGAAAGGAGCCCCCTCCTCAAATATGGGGTGTATCGTAAAACCGTTGGCTGGTGCAGTGTAGGTCGGACTCAACTACAGCCCTGCCAAATTTCATGTTGATCGATGCAGCCGTTTTTGTGCCACGGTTGACCAAAAATCTCTGGAGAAAAAAATAAAATAAAAAATAAACAGTACGAAAACATTATGCTTCGCGTGCGGGGGTCATAACGTACGACCAGTAAGTACTTTCTGAGTTATAAAAATCTGTCCAGTGTTTTAGGATACATTTTAAAGCTGCTACACACACACACACACACACACACACACACACACACACACACACACACACACAGGTAATTACATGATTGTCTGCCTTTCATATTAAACTCAGGAGGACGTTGTTTCAACACTCTCACCTAATAAACTTTGAGCACTAATTAGATGCAGAACTAAAGCATGATGTCATCTTGTGACTTCACTGATGCTCACAGGAGTGTTGTTTTAAAACCTGCACCTCCTCCTCCTCCTCCTCCTCTCTCCTCGCAGCGCTCCCTCTGCAGCGACCCATTTCAGCGGCGCAGCCTGGGTCTGACCTGCTTTAGACGGAGGCTGGCTAATTATACGTGGCTCGCGTTAATAAGGCCGGTTAAACCGACGACCACAAAAGGCACGAGCGTGCACGAGCGCAGGCGTGCACGAGCGCTGGCGTGCACGACGAGCAGATCCAAACACCTCCTGCACAAACAGATCGTTTCCGACATCTCATAAGCAGGCATCCACACCTCGGCAGCGTGACTCATCATCTGTAAACGAGGATGTGCGTGGCTTCGTGTTCGTTACGTGTGTCTGCTGCGTGGTGGTAACACTTTCACCTGTTGTCGTGGCAACCGTTAAAATACATACGGTTAAATAAGGAGCAAACAATAGAAAATAACAGATTTTTCTTTTCAAGCGAGTCAATATTTTAGTTTGAATTGTTTCCTCAGCTTGATTCAAGATGGCCGCCGCAGCTGAATGAGTTCAGCGAACACAACGGTGTGTTGTGGCTGAGAGTCATCCTGAACTCATCCTCAGAGCTCACACATCAGCTCAGCTTTAATCTGAAATCCTTATTTTCAACATTTAACCTGAAGGGATCTGAATTTAAGGTAGCAGCCTCTCCTTGGGCTGCTACCTTATCGTGGTGGAGGGGTTTGAGTGTCCCAATGATCCTAGGAGCTATGCTGTCTGGG